GATAAAATGGTATGTATTTTTTTTTATATTGTATATTCCTTTTATTTGCTTTTTTTTTAAAAAAAAATACTTCAGATATTAAATTTTTCCTATATCCTTTATTTCTTAATAATAATAATAATAATAATAATAATAATAATAATAAAAGCTCTCTACCATTTCTTTTTTGAAATACACAAAAAGAAATATTATTCCAAGTTGGATAAATAATGTTGGATTTTTCAATTATAAAGAAACCACTTATCTTAAAACAAAATTGGATCGTAAGCATTTATTTATTTATTTATTTAGAATTTAATATATTTTATTAATTATATTAATTATATAGAAGGATTTTATATTGGAGAAATTAAACCACAATATTATAGTATGATGATTATTAAACCAAGTTCGTTTATAAGTCATATTGAAACCGAACAGAGGTATAATTTAAATTTTTTTTTTTTCACAAAAATTTTTTAATTTCGTTATACTAATTATGCTATAATTTTTAAAGAAGTAACACGGTAAGCGTTTTAATATAATATATTGTGAAAATTTATTATAATTAATTAATAAAAAATATACTATATAGTACCTAGGTATTTTTGGAGTTATAGGCGGTAAGTAATGATTAATAATCTGTAAACTGTACGATAAATACACTAAATGTATACAAATTCCTTATAATATATATATAGGTGCTTGGGGATTAGTTGTTGGATTTTATGCTTTTCTATTCGGTAATATTCCATTGGAAGTTTCAATTTAAAAATTTCATTAATGGCTGAACTCTTGTAACCTTTTAGGCGAGTCATTAATCCATCCGTGGGGTTTTATACAGAAAAATTGTTGTAGAATTAAATCAAAAACACAGAGTAAGTTAAGAAAATCATTATCTATTTTACCGTTAACTGATTCTTCGATATTGGATGAAAAGGATAAAGTAGAAGAAGTGTCTGTAGAAGAATTTAATCGGATGAAAGAAAAATTGAAATCTTTAGAAATTTTATTAAGAGAGTATGTTATAGATGTTAAGTTTCTACAAAGTGTTGAAAATGGTAATATTAGGGAAGCATAATATATATTATATATTTTGATAAATGCAGAGAAATATTTCTAGGTGTCCTGAGATCGTCTAAAGAATAAAATATATTGGGCATATAAAGAGTATACATCTATTAATGAAACTTTGAGCATAATGATCAATATAATTAACGTATTAGTTTTATTGATTCAACATATTAACGTTAAATAATGAACTTCCTTTTTTTTAATGGTAAACTAGTGAATGAGCCAATATATTTAAAACTATGTTAAGTTTTTAAATTTTTTGATTTTAACCACTAAACTACTCACTTATAAATATAATTTCAGATTTAGGCCGTTTAAGATAGAAAATAAAAAATTTCTTTCGCAACCAATTTTTCGATTCATTAACTCGATTAATTATTTCCGTATGGTTGCGCCACTAAATTTTGCCCAACCATCATTCGTTCAAATGTTACACAGAACATAATATACGTTCAGTATAGATTTTTAATTTCAATACATCCAATATCTAAGTAATTTACCGATTAACTACATGAAATTTATCGTCCAGACGTCCAAATTTCAACAAAATTTTAAACTTACAATTGGCAATTTTTTGTTACAAACATCTTTTTATTTAAAATTAAATTTGAATTAGGTATTGACTCAGAAATTCTTCTATTAAGGATTAAAGTAAATTTATCGTATTAATGTCGTGTAAACTACTAATACATGTATCAATGGTATGAAATTATTGAATTTAAAACAGTGGCAATCCTCGGTAATAGAAAAGACAATACCCAAAATCGAATAGAAAAACAATAGGTGTCAAAAGAATATAAATAATTTAAATACTTTCGTAGAATAGTGTGAATGGTGCTTTAATTATTTCAAGTTATCGATATTTTTTTTTTTCGGATCAGATAGTCTGATTAATGTAACAAGTTTAAGGTCCGGGCAAAAGAATTTTTTAGATTCTCGTGACCCGACCGCCTCAATTTTTACAAAAACTCATGATTTTTTTTTTATAGTAAAATTTTTATCACGTGACTTTATATAATGAAAAATCGTAATAGCATATACTTTATTATAAAAAATTTTTCATATATTTTCGTGATTTTTTTTGTTATTTGAAACTTGATATTCTTATCACTTTTTTTTTTTGTCAGGAACTGTCATATAACACTCACTACAATAATAATAATATCCTTCATTTACCTTACTATTTTCGTAATACA